TATACATCCACTTTCATGACTGACACCATTCAGGCCCCAGGGAAATTCTTCTCCCTATCTCTTGCTTCAAATCTTCAGAATACAGAGCTGCATCTGAGTGTCAGGAGGGCTTGGAGGTTGATCACCGTGGATGCCAGGGGTAGACGGTGCTTCTGAGGAAGGATGGAATTCTAGCAGAGAAAGCACATAGCTATGAGGGGAAACAGATGGGTTAACATCCAAAGTCCTTTCTCTCAGATGGCTTAAGGTCATTAGTTCCCACAGTCGGATTGGGGTCTCTTTTTTCTTGCTCTTCTGGTTCTGCTTTATAGTTCTGGAGATACTCATGAATAGCTGAGGAACTTTGGCTGTATTCAACAAATTACATTATTTTCAAATTTATATATGTAGTTTTAGCTGGATGTAATGCATAGGAAGAGTGCTAATGATTCTTTACCTTGACAACTCAGTGGAATTTGAAATCTTGTAGAGTGAGCATTTTTATGAAAACTTTAATATCTTACTATATTTTCAAATTAGCATATAACTCAGCTTATAAAAATAGCAGTTTCAATCTTTTAATTTACAAATTATAATTTGTATTTCAGCTTTTAATTTTTGTTTTTTAGAAAATAACATTTGTATTTTTAAATGATAACACTTGATTTGCTTTTTAGCAAAATTCCTTTAATATTTATATTAATATACTTTGAAACAATTACATTTTATTTTTAAATTATAGATGATTTTCTTCAGTAGATCCCAAATTATATGAAAATATTGGTAATAGCATACTTCACGATTTTCTCAAAATGAGGTCAAAAATATTTTTATGGAATAAATGTATAAATTATGAATATGAATGTATATTTAAACATCACAGGCTCATCAATAGAACATTTCAACCTGTATTAATGTTTTTAAAGTTACTAAAGTTAGTCATTTTTTTTACAGCTTAAAATTATAAGAAAAATTTTTTGAAAATATTTTTATGTAGTTTTTTCCTCTTTCCACAGTTTTTATTGGTGCATTATCATTGTACATAATGGTGAAATTTGTAGTTACATATTTGTACAAGTACAAATATAACAATATAATTTGACCAATAGCATCCCCTACCACTTCCCCCGCAATAAGCATATTTTTGATGTTATTGTTTGAAGATATATTTTTCCATGGTAGGAACATGGGGCATATTTAGCTTTTTGTTGCTTGCTTTATGAATTTTAAATATTTAGGTGTAAGGTGTATAGGCATCCAGTTGTACTCCTACCCCAAGCCCTGCAGTTTCAAGCATGTAATCCTGTGGCTATGCATTGACCTCAGTAGGACTCAGTCTGCTCATATACAACCTGAAAATCACAATCTCTCAGGGTCACGGTAGAACTGATGATACTTGTCAAAGTGTTTTGCAAGTTATAATGCACCACCTCAAAATGTAAGTTTGTATTGCTTAGCATCACTCATTGTCTAGAGGCAGTTGGTAAACATCGAATGAAAATCTGTTTTCACATAACCTAGGATAGCATAATCTTCAAACTGAAAGGAATCTTACAGGTAATATAGACTGCTTTCACATTCTGCCCCCTGGGTGTTCTGAGACAGCCCATTTCTTTCTTTGATAGCTGTGTTGAGAGCATTGAAATGTGGCCCTCCTTCTATCCTTATAATCTGCCCGTTATCAGAGACATCATTACTACTACACTTTTTTCTTTGTATTGCTCCTCTTGTTCACCTTTAAAATTGAGATAATTCTCAAAAAACATAATAAATTGCAATTTAAAGATGCTTTCATCTCTTCTGAGCCTTATCCCTGCCTCCACTCCCACCCCCCACCCTCGCCAAAAGGACCCAAACAAACAAACAAAATCTCTCTGAGCACTGTATGTCCATTTTTCTCTGACATTCAATTTCCCAAAACATATATATTCTTGTGCTCTTCTTCTTAATGTATGAATTTGAAAACAATACCATCATTTTCTCTTTAGCTTTGGCATATTTCTTCATTATTAATTTATTTTTCTCATTGGTGACAATTAAGACCTGAATGACAGCCTCTGTCTTTGCTTCTTCCACCATCCACATCAACCACTTGAATGAGCTACTGTACCTTTAACATAATGAGATCAATTCTTCTAAAAATTGTGCTTATGTAAGTAGCCTATGAGAAGGATTTACTGAAATGATGCATTAATTTTCATTTTACATAACTGAATTAATTCTTCCACACCCCAATCTAGCAGATGTCTCAAGCAAAGAGATTAAAATGTAGTCAGAACAGGAGATGGGAGTCTGATGATGAGTTAGGGAGATTTCTAAATATTTGTTTTAGTAAAATTCCTGTCCAGATTTTGAAACATTGTTTTGCTTTCTTTTTCTTCCTATGCAACATTGTATCCCAAGATCTACCCAGAATAGAGAGACGTATAATTATATTATAGAGCTGACAGTGTGTGTATATAACATTAACTGCTTGGGTAGCATGGCAGCAGTTTAGAGTAAAGTTATAGAGGCTCACAACCTCCTCCTGCTGTCTCCCTTCCACGTTATCAAGTGATGGATCATTTGAAGTCAAAAGTAAACCCTGTTGAGTTTCTATATCCAACTTAGGGTTGTACCAGAATTAATTATACCTTCTGCTACTTTGCAAAGGATTGTCACCAATAAATTCTAATAAACAGGAGTACAAAGATTTTATTTATGTCATTCCAAAGAAATTAGAACATAGTAGTGTTATTTAGCAATGCAGATGTTACATTATTGTGTTGTTTATATGAAAATAGATATGACATGGAGAGGTATATCAAACGAGCAGCAGAGAGATTTGAGTTGGCTACTGTTTTGATTATGCATATTTATTCATAATGCAGAAGTTGCTCCATTGAACCTCTTCTCTTTAAGATGGATTACCTATTTTTGGAAACCTTATTCTTTTCTTTTTTTTTTTAATATTTAGACATGTCAATATCATACTGGTGCAATATTTATGAGTGCCTTGTTTAAATTGTACCTTAATTGGTTTAGTCTCCAGAGTTGTAAGACAAGATGCTAATACCCAATAGTCAAGTGAGCAGGGTAGATAATGATGTGGTGTTGTCCGTTGGATGCTGGGGAGAGGGCCTGCTGCACATGGTCTGAAAGCAGTAATTGCACTGTGACTCTGATTTGCTTTTTCAGGCATAATGTTGTTTTACCATTAGATCACCTCATTTTCTATTATGATTACTCTGCCAGGACCATACCCCTGTGTCCATATTTTATTCTATGTACTCGATAACAGCATGCCAAGAAAAATCTATGTTAAAAAACTGATAAAGAATTAAAATAATTAGTTGACCTGCATCTACACATGCTGCCTGCAGTATGCACATACTTACACTTACTCTTTATTTCTCTATTGTGTGTGTGTGTGTGTGTGTGCATGCATTTCTCACTTAAAATATTCATGCTTTTGTGGTCCAGTGATTTAGGGAGTCTCTTGAATTATCAATATCCTGATTGATTATACCCTGCAGCACCCCTACGATCTCCATCCTCTGGTGATCTCTGAATGAAAGCTGAAATAAAGATGGCAGAGCTTGCTTTATTTGAACTCAGCTGCTCAGAAACTGTCCATGTGTGTCCATGAATGATAACAGAAACTTGTAAGTTTTACATTTGGGGTTACAAATACATTTTTAGCAGTAGGCAAATTTGCAAATACAGAATCTGTGCATAATGAGGATTGATTGACTATATTTTTAAAGATATTTGTTTGAACACCCTAAATGCTGAACACGGTCCTTTGCAGTGGTAAGTACTCAGTAAAAGTTTGTTGAGTAAATGAGTCAACAGCCATGAAAAGAAAGAGCAAACACTGAGGTTATGTCTCCTTCTTTTGTCCTATAACTTCTAGTGTGTTGAAAGGTATATAATGAAGGGCGTTTGAGGCAGGTAGTTTGGATTTGAGTCTCCACTACACCTCTATAACATTGAATCTCAGTTTACTCTTTTATAAAACAAAGGATAATAATAGTACTGACTTTAGAAAGTTACTACAAGGATTAAATGAATTAAGGGAACTTAGAAATTATCTAGTGCATAGTGCTATAACTCAGCATTGCAATAAACTATTATTTTAATATGTTTTCAAAAACTAATGTCTTTATGAGTTTTCACTTCCTTATCTTTATGAATAAAAACAACCTCATTGCCCTTTTTTCTTCCTTTTTTTGTAAGGAGAGTAGTGAAGTATAATGAAGGCTGTATTGAGAAGTATGAACTTAAAGAAATGCAAAATATTACTGATTCTTTGGAACGCAAGTCTGTCAGTCTTTAAAACAGGATGTGGTCTCCTGCGTCAGTCCTCACACTGCTCTGAAACTTGTACTTTGCAGTTCACCCAGTACGTGGACAGGTGGCAATTTTGTTGTGACTTTTTCACACTTAATGTCTTTGAATGAGCTGACAAAGCTCACCGCTGCACTGCCGGGAAATAATGGTTCAGGGTAGAACTGTATACATTTCTTCCTTTTTCCACCCATCAACAGGTTGTAACTTAAGATAGAAATGAGGCCCGGGAGTTCATGCTGGAAATGGGGGGGAAAAGTAAGAAATGATAGGTTGTCAGCTTCCTTGAAAAGGTGCAAAGCACCAGAACTGAAAATAAAGACTTTATTGCCTTGCAAAGAAGCCTTGGTAGCATTCAGATATTACCTACATCTGCTTTAATGATTCCATTTAAGCTGTCATTTTCTGCATTTACCTTGCAGCATTCAAAAGCAACTATACTTACGTGTTCACAGCCAACGCATTGCCAGCATCACAAAAAGAGGGAGGAAAAAAAAAGCAGAAAGAAAATGGTATATGATGTATTTAAAAAAAAAAGTTTCCTTGTAGAAAATTAGCAGTAATTTTGAGGCCTCTCTTAAAGGGAAATAAAGTTTCTCTGGAGATAAAAAATGCTGACACTGAACAAAAGAAAAGGGTGGAGAGAGAGAGAGAGAGAGAGAGAGAGAGAGACTGAACTCATTCTCATCTTTTCTTTCTCCTTTCTTTTGCTAGTTGCTGAACATCCTTCAAGCACTTCAGTGTTGACAGCAGGACAGCTGGGGGGAAGTCACCCTGCTTTTATTCCCAGCATGATTGCTCCTGATGAATAAAGGGGAAAAATACTGGGGATTCCTTTATTTCCTGGGAGTTTACTTAGCCTTTTCTAGAATGGGGGTTAAAGTGACTGTGACTTCCAAGGGGGCATGAGTAAAGTCCCCCCAGTTTTTTTTTTTTAGCTCATCTTAAAAAATCCCAGTGACTTATAGGTTAGAACTGGAAACCACTTTGAATATGACAGTTTTGTTACAGCTAATCAAATATTCTGTATCAAGTTCTGAAATTTCTTGTCTAAATAGACTTCATTGCTCAAATTGCAGCCTAAATCCCATTACCACTGCCTCAGACCTGTACAGAGTAAGGTGCTTCTCCCTCCCGTGGGTTCCTGTGGTTCCGGCAGACCTGACTCCCTCTGGGTCTGCATCCTGCATGCTGAACATGTGCCTTTGCTTGGTTCTTCCTCTATGGTTATTTTCTTACATCTCTAAATAAAATCTAAATTTTTGAATTCCAAGTTTATGCTTGGGGCCACTCATGACTCTTGCCCTGCATGTTGCAGGGAATAGCTGTTGTGAAACAGTAATCTGTGTACTGATTTTTTTTTTTTTCTGAAGGTGGACTCCAAATCCATGCAGTCTATGAGAATATGTCCATTTACTTTTCTGAATTCCTTCCTCTGCCATTTTACATATTAGGGGATGTTAAGCTTCCAAATGGTTTTGAACCCAGCACCTCAGTGGATGATTGGAATAAGATTTGAGTGCCCCACACAGCTTCATGTGTTGAAATCTAGTCCCCAAGGTACAGTATTAAGAGGGTAGAAATCATGGTGTTTAGAGGCAGGGCCTTTAAGAAGTGATTAGGATTAGATAAAACCACCAGGGAGGAGTCCACATGATTGAATTCTGGTTGCTTTAAAAGAAGAGAGGGGAAACCAGACAAGGCAGGCAAATGAACTCCTTGTTTTTCACTAGATGGTACATTTTTATGTCTTGGGACTTTGCCCAGTGAGACAGCCATCACCAGACGTAGCATCTCAACCTTGGAACAGAACGGTGAGTCAAAATAAACCTCTTTTTTAATTAATCTACCCAGTCTCTGATATTTTGTTATAAGCAGTGGAAAACAGACTAATATAGTTAGTAATCTAAATAAGCTTGAGCTGCCTATCCAGGTCAAGGAAACCTGATTTCATGGAAAGAATACTGCCATATAACTAAGCAGACTTAGCTCATCTGCTTGTAATTCTCTTCTGTAAGCCTCTTCTCTGGGAGAATGGTGAAATCATCTTTATGAGACCGCAAGATAACCCTACTGACAAAAAAAGGTATTTTGTAGGTTTTTTTTTAAATAAATGAATATACTAATGAATTAACAAACAAAATCAGCATCTCATCCCTGAGCAGTTCATTATAATCTTTGGGATAAAGCTTAGTATCCCTTTAATGTGAACACATAACTTTTTTTCTTAAGAAAGATGATTTTCAATATTTTTATTTTTTCTTTCTTTTATAAATTTTAAACTTGAATACTTCAAAATAGAAGACAATAGGGTTTCTGAAATAGTTGGCAGGGCCAGAGGGAGGAGAAGAGGAGGGAAATGTTGTTTACTTTTCTGTAAAGGGATTTTATTTTCCACAAGGTGAGAAACCCTGGGAAGCATGAGCTATGTTTTTCTCATAGATTTTAACATTTTTTTCTGTCTTGACTGAAGAGATCTTAATTTGCTTTTGCATTTAAATGCTATACAGTATCTAGAATACGTAGGTGTTCCATAATTATTTTTTAAATAAATGAAAGAGGAACATGAAGATGGTAATGGCTAAAATGTGGACCAGTTGAATGGAAGCTGAGGGATTATGGAGAATATTTTATTTGTATTTCTGCCTTTTCTTTTTCTATATACCCTTCTACATGGGACAGAAGAGTAGGAAAGAGAAGAGAGTAACGTTTGGATTGCTGCTCAAGATCTCTGCCAGGTCCTAGCTCTAATCCCTTCTGTTTTAAATTCAGAATGTTATCTACATAGCTCCCTCTATACCTAGCTTCTCACTTTACATCAACCCAGCTGTCCTTTTGACATTAACACTGTCATGGCAGTGTTAATGATTGAACACAGATTGTTTTACTCTTCACAACTATTGAGCTTTATCAGGAAACAAATTCAGATACCAAGGATCTCATGTGTAATATAGTTTGAAATAAAATTTTCTAAATGTATTAATTAGTCAATAGTCAAAAAGAAAAAAAATATAGATCTCTCTCTATATATTTATGTTTATCTATATATGCACACACATACATACATGTATACATGATCAAGTTTGAAAAATTTAAAAAGGATGTCTTAAAAACAATTAAAAACATTGAACTTCTCAATTTTTTCTGTTTAGTATATAAAATCCTATGTAACTCTCTTCATTTTTCAAAATTATCTTCCATAGAAATTTTTCTTCTTTTTGTTTTGAGAAATTAGCATTCTGTACAAAGTTTTTGGGGAAAAGCCATAATAAGCTACTTCCTAGATCTTATTCACAGAATGAGGACTACAGGACTCAATCTCAAAAATGAACTGGGATGGAACATATATTTTGAGGTTCCTCCCCCCATTCCGGATTCCCATTGCATTATTCATCTCAAGGAAAAAGAAAGTTAACATCATTTTCCCTCATCAAAGTGAGAAGAATACATTACAGGTGTGTGCAAGAATCTTTGCCAGCAAATCACTTCCCTACCTAATAGCTAGTTTAGTTATTGATAAGATTGGGGACAATAACTCTCCAAACTCTGTGCCATAGCATTTTTCATAAGCCATGCCTCTGTTTTTTTTTTCTTCTGCTTCTTCAGAAGCATTAGTTAATGAAGAAGTATATCCTGAATGCCATAATTTCCCAATAAAAACCACAGGTATCAGACCAAATGGATGCAGGCTGATCAAAATGCAATGTTATGCTTCCCATAATCGTGGTGGATCGTTTGGTTAGCATCAAAATTTAGACTTTAATTTTCTGCCACGGATGAAAGGAAATTTCAGCCAAATGTGGCAGAAACTAGGGAGGCTCCCATCGCTGCAGGTGTTTAACCATCAGGCATGCTCTTGGGGGACAGCATTGTCTGCTGGCCAGGCCGGGGTCCACAGATGGGGAGAAGCTGGTAGTGGGGAGGGGCAGGATAGAACAGGATCAAAATCTGGACAAGCTCCAAAGAAAATCTCATCTCTCATTTCACACCTTTGCTATTTGCTGTCAGTCTCTCCCCAGCAAGCGTTATTACTTTGCGGTGCTCAACAGGAGTTGATGGGCAGCCTCCACATTTCTCCTCGGCTTCACTGCCTCGCAGACGGACTTCTTCATTAAAGGCCACACCACAGTTCTCCAGGCTTAATGGGCATAAATATAGCTGCTCAAAGAGGGGAAGCACTTTTCTGTCCATGAAGATATTACATCCAAGAGACGAAAGGAAAACCTGCTAATTGAGAATCGCACTTCAGTTTAATTACACAGATGCTAAAATAATGTAACTGAAGCGCCTTAAAAATATAATTATCCACTATGCAATGCTTGAGAGCCTGCTTTATCTTTTTGCGTTTAATGTACATGATCAAGAAAGAGCCAACAAAAGAATCATTCCTGGGTAATTTGGGAAACTGGGACATGTTTGGGTTTGAAAGATGTTTCAGAAAGCGTCTTGCATTTGGAGGGAATCATCAAAGGTATTTTGTGAGCAACTATACATAAAATCCTTCTTCTCTACCTGTATGTTCTTCAAAGGCACTTGGGATTAAAATAATAAATTTTAGGGTAGCTTGAAACTGTGTCCAATTATCTCCTCCAATACCACAAAGAGTGAGGACTGCTGTATGTTTGGAAAGAAAAACATACTGTCTTTGTAGTGTGCCTTGAAGAAGGTTTAGAAAGTGCTTCTGATTGACTAAATATTCCTTCTACCCTTTCCTTCTTTACCTTTTAGCTATATTGTTGAATATATTATTAGACAGTGCTGGCTTTGCATAGAATGCTAACCTCTCAAAACACTCTGCTCAAAAATAAACCTGATTGTGTATTGCTTCCCAGTGCTATTTACTTTTGTGTGTGTGTGTGTGTGTGTGGTGTGAGACCCACCCTATATTCTTGTGGATTTCTTGTGTTGATGAGTAGTGTTTGCCATGGATTATAGTAAATAATGGTAAATTGATGCAAACATTCTGCATTTATGATTAACATAGTGGACAATATGATTGCTGTCCTAAGATTTTCAGCAAAAACATGATTTAGCAAGGGTGCTTCTATATGGCAAACAGGAGATGTTCTCTAAAAGAACTTCAGAGATCATATTCCAAGTTCCTAGAGGTGCAGAAATTTGTAGGCACTTGAAAAGGAGGTGTGGGGTATTGAGAAAAGGAGGAGGGAAGCAGGAGATGGAATACATGGAACTTCTAAAACAAAGATGAGAAAAAATGCTACTGAGCCACCTGGCGCATCCACAGACCATCCTGGTAAGCACCTTGGTGAACGGACTGCAGAGGAAGGCACATCATCTAGTAGGAATGGAGCTTGGGCTAGACTCACACTGAGAGGTGCTGTTTCCTCCTATGTGCCATAGAGCTCAGAAGGAGAGCAGAGGATTAACACTCTTGCTGTGGGGTCTGAGTACCTGGACCCTGATCTGCTCCAACTAGCTGTGGACCTTGGAAAAGTCCTTCGCCTATCTAATCTTGTTTCTTCCCTCCTAAAATAAAGTTACTAACAGTATCCACTGCCTGTAGTTGCAGCAATAATTAAATGAAACAATCCAAGTAACACATTTAGAAGAGTGTCTAGCCTTTGTGAACGTTCAATAAATTATCTGGTATCAGCTTTCCAAAGCTCCGGCTGATTCTACTGATTCTAGCCCAGGCTGGTATACTTTGCCAAATCATGCATACATTTTAAACACCTTATGTGTGAACATTGAGGAGATGGTTTGTAGCTCTCAGAACCCAAGAGAAAAAAAAAATCTGTAAAGGCTGAGGAATCTTGGATTCAGTGCTCGTCTGATCTGTCTGCTACATCCTTGGTCTACTCAGAGAAGAAAAGCATCAGAACTGAGAAATGGAGTTGCAACCACACTGAGCAGTTCCCAGGTTGGACAGTCACAGATGTGTTTACACTCACATCTAGATGGTGCATGGCTCATTACTTCAGGGTGAGAGGCTACGGGGTACATGTGCATCTATTAATGAATCTGGACCTGCCCCAGCACACTGCCCAGACAGTTGCATTTTTAATTTTTTTTTGATGATGTATATGTACTTTGAGTGGAGTGAGGAAAGACGAAAGGGAGGTGTTTTGTTTATTTGCTAACAAATCAGAGTCATTAATATTAGTGTCCTCGATTTTTGGTATTGATAACATTGAAATAATAGCCAACGTTTATAGGATTTTTTATGTGTGTAGAATTCTTGATATGTAAAATCACATTTATTGTAAAAGAGACCAAGAGCTACAATAACATCTTTGTAAAAGGTTTATTTATAATTAACTGTGTTCCTCTCATTATTTTGCTGCTGTTTGATATAGATATCTTCAGGTAAACTTTTTTTTGTTGTTGTTTGGATTGATTTGGGCTCTTCTGGTTTTCAGCCAAGTGAAAGCTCATTGTCCCAAGGGAGATACTGTAATATACATGAATTTGGGAGTTAGGTGAGCCTGGAATGAATCTTAGCTCCCCTCCTAATTAGCTCTATGACCTTGTATGAAGTAGGTTCAGAGTCTCAGTTTTCTCATCTCCAAAATGTGAATGTTAATATCTACCTTCTGGTTCTTTGTAAAATGCTTGAAATATAAAACTTGCTAGATTTGATTTTGATTGCTCATAAAATAGCTTCCATGTCCCCCACTGAGGATGCCTGGTGATCCCAACCTACATTGTTCCTATATCCCAAATCCACCCTCCTGAAGCTAATGCAAAATTGTAAGCAAGTCGGAAAACTGAGCATCGTGAGTATTGATGATCACTTCAAAATATCCCTCAGACCTGTCTGCTTTTCTCCTGTGCCAGTGTCCCATCCAGGTCAGGTAACCATCACCCTCACCACAACTTCTATGGTAATCTCCTAGCCAGTCTCCCACTCAGACTTTGTTCTTCTCCAGTGTGTTCCCTACCAGGAGTCAGAATGCCCTTACATTTTCATTTAAAAATATAATCATGTCAATTTTTTTTGCAGAAGACTGAATTAGAACTCTCCATTACACTTAGAATAAAACCATAATATTCTTACCTCTGAGGTCACCCTGTGGACAACCCCCCAGCCCTGGCTATTTTTCACTTCCATTTGCTCACTCTGTGCAAGCTAGATGCTGAGAGGTATCCCAACCACATGATCTATATCAAGCCACACTGTCATTGTTCATTCTGTTTCTTTATAAAATTGATCACACTCAGCTCTTACTTGTTTATCTGAGAATTATTTTCTTCCTGTTTTCCTAAAATCCTATAGATTTTAGTTTCCATATAGGCAGAGGTCAAGTATGTCTGGCATTACCAGAGCCTAATACGTGGCAAGCACTTAATGGTTGAAATAAGGGACTAAATGTAAGTGTACTTACTACTAATGACTAGTTAGGTCATATATATATATATATAAGATCTTTAACTATTATAAGCAATATTTAAATGAATTTCCTTATGCATATTTCATGAACAACTGTGCTATTATTTAATGGGATAAACTTTTTTAAAATTTTGTTTTTAGTTGTAGATAAACACAATATCTTTATTTTTATTTATTTATCTTTATGTGGTGCTGAGGGGCAAACCCAGAGCCTCACATGTGCAAGGCAAGCACTCTACCACTGAACTACAACTCCAGTCCTGGGATAAACTTTTAAATGAAGTCCCATCTAGCATACTGTCATACCATTCTGATTTCTTCCTTCATAATCACAACTTATTACATATCTAATTGTTGAGTTTCTGGTTTCCACTTTTCCACCTTGACCAAGCTAATATAATTTGCAAGTCCTGATCAGGCCCCCTCATTGCTGAGTTTTAAGTGTTTAGAATATTGACTTTCTCACAGTGAACACTTAGATATTCATTGAATGAGATAACTATGGGTCACATGAATGTTGACCAGGTAAATGGGAGGGTTGCCCTAAAGATACACAAAGAGAAATAGGAAAAGAAGGTGAAGTAAAGGGTATTCATCATTTTTCTTCACCCAAACTTTAAAAAAGGAACTTGTATTAAGGGATAGCAAGTCACCACTTTAAATATTTACTCAAAAACATTTTTTAAAAAACAGCAAAGGCTCATGATTTCTTGTGTTTATTTCTTTGTGCCACACACAATTGAAGAAGTTTATGAAATCTTGTGTTTTTGCATCTTTATAATGGATAAGAAATCAGCTTTATTCATTGCATTTTCCTGGGAAGAAGCCTGTTGTCTGAGAACATGTTGGGGAAGATGGGAAGAAGGAGCCTGAGTTGTGTCAGGTTGGGGATACTGATGGTGGAGATGCTACTGGGCTAGGATCTGAGTAGCCTCATTGTTAGCAGTCAGTTGTATGCTTGCTCCAGTTCATGTAAGGCTTCTGTTCAGGAGGAAAATTATTCAGATCACAGAGAATATTTAAGAGAAGGGAATATGTAAATTTAATTGATATAGAAAGTTGTCAAGATTTGACTCTCAATTGAATGAAACCAGCACAGTCCCTTCTGAAGACTGACCTTACACAACAATTGGGTTGCAGAATTTCTATAAATTAGACACTGAGCAATGGGAATTCTTTGATGCTTGGTAAAGACAATGACATTCTCCATGCAGAAAAGTTTTTGTTTTAAAGTTCTGCTGACTATAGCTTATCTATAGCTTTGTTACCAAAAACATGGGACAAGAAATCTGACTTTTGAGTTTTGGCCTTGGCTCATATGTCACTTTGCTGTAGAGTATTGCTCCAGGAAAGCACACAATCTGTGCTCAGTTTCTCTTCTGTCAAGTTAAAATAATGACTTTTGTCATGTTAGGAATAAAATGATAAAATTTCCATTCTGAATAACTATGAAGGTAGAAAGTTTTGAACCACAGTTTCACATTTACCATTATTATTATAATAAAAGATAACAGAATTTAGAGTTCAACTGGCATGGAAGTCTCATTGGTCACCCAGGGCCTTTCCTTTCAACAGTGAGTCTTTCAAGTGAGGCCAGGTCTATACTTTCAAACTTTTTGTATTTTTTAATTTGAGAAATATATGACCATGTCACGGATACATATTAGTTAACTCTTATTGCATTAAAACAACTATGACATCTTCATAGAATAATGAGAATTTTTTTTCTTTCTTCTTCTTTTTGTTAACCTCACATATTTATGGATCATGATAAGATTGACTGATCCAGGTAAAGTCTAGGACAGCTGACCCATTTACACAAATACCTTTTTGGTCACTGCTGGCTTCATGTGTATTGACACCCCATTGCATTGGCCAAAACAAGTCACAGAGTCAAGGCCAGCATCAAGTGTGGGGAAAGAAGATCCTGCCCACAGAGGAAAGGCACTGAAAATTTGCCTGCCAAGAATTGGATGTCTAATATTTTTACTGGGAGTCAGCGGAAAGGTGAAAGAAAAATCTAGTCTTCCTCTGAGGAATTTTTTTCTCCTTAATATTTACTAATTTTTTAATACTTCCCTGTGAGTTATTTCTGCTCTGCGCCACATGTATCAATTTATCATATAAGTATAGAGACTTAGACTCTAGTGGGAGGTACTTTTCTACCATACATCTCACTTTCTTTATACATAAATGCGTTGTTAGGTAATCTCTAAAGCCTTCCAGTTCCAAGATAATAGAAAACTACTGATTTTTTTTTCATATAACAAAGCTATATTAGTCCATTTGTCTGCTATAACAGAATAATGTAGACTGGTTTATAAACAACAGACATTTATTTATTACAGTTCTAGAAACTGTCAGGTCTAAAATCTAGGTACCAAAAATTCAGTGTCTGGTGAAGATTTATTTCCTGTGTCCTCACTGGTGAAGATTTGCTTCCACAGTGTCCTCACTGTGTCCTCACATGATGGCAG